TTGGAACATTACACTAATCTAGACTATTAAAAGGTCACTGTGTGATATTTAACAAGACCCCAATCAGCTAAAATTTAAAATTGCAAATAGAAACACCTGTAAAGCTTCCCGAGCCTTTAAACAGTCTCTCAGTCTAGTTAAATTACAGAAATAAATGTAATTTTGCACAGCATTTTAATTTTTCCAGCTTCACATAATTGTGTGTTTTAGCATCATTTCTGTTGCTGGTAATCTAGTAACGGTTAAATAAATAAATAAATAAATATCCTTTAAAATGACACTAGAAGAGGCACAAATCTGATGGAGGACTTAAATGTACTAACGTGGGTCAGACCCAAACACAGAAGAGCTGAAGCTGGGTGGTAAACACACACAGGCAGTTCTGATAACACCTGAGCTCCATGACGTGATGCATCAGTGTTACAGCAGGACTAAAGACATGATCAGGAACAGGTTACAGCTGGATGATCTAGGAAGGTAGAAAATCAGGACGTCTGAGCGGTGAACAGGTGAGCAGACCTTCGGGACGTCCCGCTGTCATGCTAAGAAGGGCACGGCTGCAGACCCGCAGATTCGCTGCTGCACGCATTTTCTTATCAGTAACAGGAACGACGTTTTGATAAAAGAAGACGTAATTAATTAGTTTGCTCGTTACAGAAAGAAATATTTTTTTATTAACGCGGTTATTTTAAACGGAGTTATTCCCGTTGTGTCTACAGAATGCAGCGACTGAGACCGTGAGGGTCTCCGCCCACCCGGCCAATCATCATCGTGTTTGTAAGTGCGTTACCGACACCTCTCTCTCCCTGGCTGCAGCTGAAGTGTGGCGGTCAGAAAGCCTCACGCAGCTGCTCAACGTTCGACAAGCACATAGTAACGCACAACGTTCCATCCCCAGTAATGGTAACGGCGTTGCAACGGCGGGAAAAGTAATTAATTAGATTATTCCGTTACCTATAAAAGAACGCCGTTAGAAACGCCGTTATACTTAAACGGCGTTACTCCCAACACTGCCGGGCACACAGGTTGGAACTAGTTTGCGTCTTGAGCAGCTGTTTCTGAATAGCTGAAGGAACCGTTTTGCTGTGCCAGCTGTAGACAGCTTTTAGGTTAAAGAGGTTTTGCTTTGGATGGCTGGTCCGAAGCTTTCTCAAGAACTCACGAGAACTAGAACTGACTCACGGTGAAGTGAGCTCTGTTTTAATGATAGTCATATTTCGATTTTCTAACAAATCAGAATTTGACATGTAAAAAGGGTTTTACCAACAAACCTCAGAAAACACGCCTCGCGTCTTATACAGGAGTTCTGATTGGTGGAACAGAAAGCACTGTGTCAGGATATTAGCTTAACCTTGACATCATCACGTGTCTGAATGTGTGAGCTGTCAGAAGATTGTGATTCACTTGTTAAATCTAAAATTACTGATCATACCATAATAATCATTTCAACCACAGTAATTTAAGCAGATTAATCAAAACATTTCATTTAACCATATTGTTCATTTCATTTCATGATTAATTAACTCATATGAGCTGAAAATGTTCCCTTTATTCAGAGGCATGAGGAATCCTGTAGAAGTGATGAGGGAAGCTTAGGCCTTGAAATTGGAACAGCTTGTTGACAATATGTTATCACGTGTTCAGAGCTGCAGAATCTTCCGGGCTTGTTGGAAGATAGAATGTAAAATCCACCTTAGAGAATGGAATTGATGTCTGCAGATGACCGGTGGCATGTAGGTCAATATGTAGGTGAAAACTGACCATTTCCGGACGTTACATCTTTTTAACACCTTAATCAAACAGCTGAGATGTCCCCCCAGCTTTCATTAGTGTCTACAGGAGTCATTCGTCACTAAATCAAACTAATCAGCTGTGTTCATGATCTAAAACATGCAGGAAATGTGCTGGAAACAGACTGTAGAGTCCAACAGGGACCAGACTGGCACTCTGAAGTTGTAAGTGTGGTATTGTAGCCACAGGGGGCGGTGGGGGTCTGAGTGACTTTTCATTTAAAAAAATCAGAAAGAGCACTCGGGTGAGTCGAGATTTTTTAGGTGTGAGTAAAAAAAAGGGAAACTAACATTTTGACACGGGATGGGTGTTGGTCAGTGTTACCTGACTTTTCATTAACTCTGTAAAGCAGGGCTATTAAAGTTTAGGCCTCGAGGGCCAGTATCTAGCACGTTTTAGTGGTTTCTCTGGTCCAACACACTAGATGCACGCTGATCAGGTTCTGCAGAAGCCTGTTAATCACCTGCTGGTTGAAACCAAGTGTGTTGAAGCAGGGTTAAAACTAAAACGTGCTGGATACCGGCCCTCGAGGCCCAAACTTGAGCAGCCCTGCTGTAAAGGGTCATTTTAGCACTTAGTGGCTGAAGAAAATTATTTAAAAATATGAAAAAGTTGCACAGTATGGCTTTAAATTATTATAATGCTGAGCTGCGTCACACAAATCCTGGTTTGTTTGTTCCATCGGATTCAGAGACCAACGAGGGTATTCTCTAGTAAATTATAACTTCTGAAGGGCATTTTCTTTCTTTCACCAGAGTATTTTTAATCAGGACTGTAAGATCTATAAACTGAAATATTGTGATATTTTGTTATGCTACTGAACATTTATTAAAATCATGTCTTATAACATTTTTTATTAAGATTTTATATGCAAACATTGATTGTATTTCTTTTGTTTGTTGCAATTCAAACTCTGGCTGCTAGGTGGCAGCAGTTTTTATTACCGTCTTCCTTCTGATGGAACACCCAGATCTCTCAATAACACGGGATATGTTATGGAAGGCCTGAGCAAATTAAAATTAAAATGTCGTCTGGCTTTTAGCATCCTGATATCAAAACGTCAGATTCATGCCTTCGTTTTCATTTTGATCTGCAAGGAAAACTCTAAAGCTAAAAGTCTGCAGGCGTTTTTAAAGCTTGCTTGTCCTTTCAGGATGCTGAGGGAGGGCGCAGAAGTTTAGCGTTAGTCAGAGAAACACTTTGAGGTGGAACATTTTCTCAGGAATCCCTTCTGAGTGAAGGAGACGGATTACACGATAGGCGTCTGCTTCTTTTTGTCTTTGTGTTCAATATTCTCAGGGGAAATATTTTTATTACCGTGGATGCTTCGTCCACAAACAGTTTGTAAAAGTTAAGATCTTCTACAATCTGAACCTGGAATTGAACTGGTTCATAATTCTGACTTGAATAATTTAAAGCTAATTAAAGCAGTTTAAATCATTTGGCTATTTTTTACAAATATAAATGATCCCATGTTTGTGTTTCTGTCAGAACGTAGAAGATGGTGGGCCGGCACACAAAGCTGGACTCAAAGCTGGAGACCTGATCACTCATGTGAACGGAGAACCGGTCCATGGTCTGGTCCACACTGAGGTGGTGGAGCTCCTGCTAAAGGTGACCATGAATCCTCTTTATACCGATCCTACTGCTCCACGTACCAGTGGTGCTCTTTGATGTGTTTCACTTCTTCATCACCAATAAGTTCAAAGACGAGTGAATTACAGGAAAGCAAGTCTGCAGCACAAACTATAGAGGCATGGGAACGTCTGGTGGATTTTCAGAAGATGCTCATTTGTGGACAATAATGTTTTTATTTTCTTCAGAGCGGCAGCAAAGTGGCCATCTCTACAACTCCTTTTGAGAACACCTCTATAAAAACTGGTCCAGCCAGAAGGAACAGCTACAGGAGCAAGATGGTGCGGTGTGGAAAAAAGTCCAAAAAGGAGAAGATGCCAGAAAGGTACCAAATTCCTGGAAACCATCCAGGATTGTTGTGTTTAATCATCATAAACGAGGAGCTGTGGGTGTTTTTTCTGCTTTAGTCACTAAATCAGAGCTTTGGCTCGGACAGAGAATAATAATTAAGAGGTTGTTGAATGTAGACACACATAGATTGCATCTGATGTACAACAAAAAATAAAAATAAACCTAGCACTATATGTACCTATATGTGCTATGTGAAGCTAATTATGTGAACGGAGTTCAGGTGAAAGAAATGAATGCAGTAAACTACGTGTACTGGAAAAGCGTTGCAAAAAGAACAAAATTAACATAACCCTATAATTTATTTAAGGGAAAATCGACGCTTTCGAACAAAAATGTTATCAAAACAGAAGGGCAAAATAATCTATAGCCCATAACTGATAAAAATCAAAGTAAAATAGATTATAATAGAAGTGACGAAAAGAAATCGGCTGTAATGAAATAATGCAGACATGTATATCTGTGAATATATCTTTAAAAGAATTAATAATATAATTACTAGTAATATAAAGAAGAAACACAAAAATGTAAATCAGTGAAGTTAGTATCAAACCTATATGTGAATATACCCCATAAGGAAGTAGATTAGTAGATAAAAATAAAAAATGGAATTTGGATAAACACAACAGTATGTGGAATAGTCCCTTTAACTGTTAAGACTTAACCATTACAGTATTCCAGGAAACCACAGCATGACCATCTCAAGTCACCCAAGTCTGCACGTCATGTATAGACAGGAAGTACAACCATGCACACACACAAACACAAACAAACTTGTGTAACCTGAAACAGGGAACCATGGGACAAGCGAACCTGGACAATAGAGATCACCCCCCTTTTGAAGTTGAAGGCCTAACCGAAGGCGTAGGAGGTGCAGACGGAGGTACAGGACCGGCCGGTGCACGTGGAGGCACCTGGGCAGCCGGAGCATGACAGACAACTGGTACGAGAGCTCGAGACAGGCGGCCACAGATGTTGCGGACCAAGTCCCCAAGAGAGGTCAACCGTGCGGAGAAGTGACAGAACCGGAACAACGCCAACCCCAAAGACAAACAAAGGTTTAGGCATACAGTGAATAACGCGACAGAATCAGTGGAGGACCAGGAGTAAGACACTGGTTGAAACCTGAGACCAGGATCTGCCGACAACTCACGCAGCATCCTGTTCACCGCCCCAACTCAAACCATGGTCGGACCACTGAATGTAACACGATCCACCGTAGCTGGAGAATAGCAAAGGAGACGTCATAAAAAGGAGAAAACTCCACAACAGACTTATGCTCCCCAGGATCCAAGTAATATAGAGAGACCTCACCTACGTGGACCACAGCACTTCATGGAACTGTCACCCATAGGGTTTGAAACGGAAGCACAACACACGTGGACACACCATGACGCTCATAGAAAACATTCGCTTCACTAGCGGGGGTATTAACTAACCAACATTCACCAACACAGTCATAGGACATTTAGAATCGGATGGAACCACGCGTCTGGGACTCGTAAGGGGTCGGAACAATATCAGCTTTGTTCTGCAGGAACTGTTCGCTATATCAGCTTAGCAGGTGCAAAAAGATTTTGACAACGTGTCAAAAACATTGATGGATTAAAGAGGGTTTTGCTTCAGATGGACGGTCTGAAGCTTTCTCTAGAACTGATGAATCACCAGAGTGATCCAGTTTTAATGCTCTCATGTTATGATTGTGTAGCCAACCAGAGGTTGACAAGTTGAGGAATGTTAACAAGACAACTCAGAAACACGCCTTCTTTGATCCGGAGGCTCTGGTCTGTGGTAAAGGCTATTTATGTGTCATGGGTTTAGCTTAACCTTACTTGTTCTTGTGTGACTGCAAATGGTGATGACCTTGTCATATAAACATGCAATCAATCAATGTAATCACAACTTTCATTTCAACCTTCAGTCATTGAGGCACAGGTTAATGAAAACATTTCATTATATTATTATAAGTAGCAATAAACGTTTATTTACTGATTATCTAGCTTATAAGTTTTAGAAGTTCATATTTAATTTAGGAAATCATTCTTTGATTTAACCACTAATCCGGGCTGCGAGTGTTCACTTATTTGGAGGCATGAGGAATACTGTAGGACGATAAGGGAAGCTTGAACCTTGGGAGAAAACGTCATTGTTGACAGTTTATCTGTGTTCAGAGCTGCAGAGAGGCTCTGAGCTCCAGCTGGTGAGATGAAGGCAGGCTGATTTAAAGGGAACACATGCAGTCTCGTGTCTCCTATTTGACCAGATGTTGAATGGTCGATCAGGACCTAAAAACTGACCATTGCTGGACGTTACACTGGTCTGATTTTGAGTGTGTTGAAGTGTCTTCGGGCAACAAACTGATCCACACATTACCATTAAGTAATGATCTTTGGTGTAAATAAACCTTATTGACATGGTTTCGTAGTGTGTTTAATGTTATAAGATCAGAGTTTTTATTCTATACATTTTACTACATAGCACAAAAAAATAAGTGAGTTTAGACGTCACTCCAGTTAGGTAGTAGAAACATGACTTCCTGTTTCTTTTTTGATCCCTTTAAATTGAAAACCGGTTGCAGAGGGACAGAAGTTCTTCAGGTCTGTTGGCTAAGTGAAGCTGCAGCTTCACTGTTGGACAAGAACATACAACGCCACAATAATAAATGAAATAATGTCGGCCCTTATTCAAGAGTCATGGCTGTAAGTGTGTAGTGTCTCCCAATGGCCTCTAGGGGGCAGACAGGTAACACTTTGGGACTATTTTAGAGGGGCAACCAACTCCTTTTCCCTCCCGAACACTTTTAGCATCTTGTGGAAACAGAACGTTAAGTTTTGGTTTTGTCTTCTCTGTCTGTGTTTTGCAGGCGGCGCTCCCTTTTCAAGCGTTTCGCCATGCAGCCCTCTCCTCTGCTCCACACCAGCCGTAGTTTCTCCTCTCTGAATCACTCTATGTCCTCTGGTGACAGCCTCCCTGGCTCCCCCACCCACAGCCTCTCCCCTCGCTCGCCCACCGCCGCCCTGAGAACCACGCCCGACTTCACCCTCTCAGGTGGAAATATGAAAAAAAAAAAAAAAGAAATCTCATTAAGATTTTAATGTTTTTTTATTGACCGATTAGTGTTGTTTGTGCTCATGAATTCCAGGAGGTAACTCCTCCCAGAGCAGCTCTCCCAGCTCCAGCGCTCCCAACTCTCCCGCGGGCTCAGGACACATCCGTCCCAGCACCCTCCACGGCCTCGGACCCAAGCTGCCGGGTCAGAGGCTTCGACAGGGGCGCCGCAAGTCCATCGGCAGCATTCCCTTGTCCCCTCTGGCACGCACGCCTTCACCCACCCCCCAGCCCACGTCGCCTCAGCGCTCTCCTTCTCCCCTCCATAGTGGACATTCTGGACCCATGTCTAAGACAGCCCAAGCCTTCCCAGCTAAGATGCATTCCCCTCCCACGATTGTACGCCATATTGTCTGTCCCAAAAGCGCCGAGCCGCCCCGCTCGCCCCTCCTCCAGCGTGTCCAGTCTGAGGAGAAGCTGTCCCCGTCCTACACAGGAGAGAAGAAGCATCTTTGTCCCAGAAAACACAGCCTGGAGGTGACCCAAGAGGAGGAGCAGGATGAGGAGCAGAAGAGCGGGGAGCCGGACCTTGCTGCCCTGCAGAGTATGGACGAAATGAGCAGCGAGCCTCCAGCGATCACTCGCCTGCGACCCGTTGAGCAGGGCTGCTTAAAAAGGCCCGTCGGCCGAAAAGTGGGTCGGCAGGAGTTTCCGGAGGAGTTTGACAAAGATAAAATAAAATTAAAGATTGCTCTGAAGAGGAAAGAGTGGACAGAGAGGAGGGAGGCCCTGCAGAAGCAGGAAGCCCTGCGTGAATCCGACTTGTTGCCCCTGTTTGGTGATGAGAGGATGGAAAGTTTTCTGTTCCCGATCCAAAACAAAACCCAGAGCAGCCCAGATTCTTCCCCTCTGGAGATCAAAGCCATTAAAGATGTTTTGTACAAAAAACTGTTCCCGCGAGTTTCTGAAGGCTGTCCTGAACCAGCAGGTGGCAGCAGCGAGGGCGACAGAGCCTCCCGAGCAGCTGAGTGGCAGCACACCCGGCATGGTAAAGACGACAGCAAGCCCGACCCACTGGACTTCAAAACTCCCAGTGTGGATTACACCAGAAAGAGGTTGTCCTTCGAGGAACTGGAGGACCACATGTGCCGATTTTCATGCGGCATCCACGAGAACCTCCACTTTGGCTCCATGAGGTCCAAGAGCCTCCAGCTGGACACGGCTGCATCTCATGACCACCTAAAAGCAGCCGTCCACTCTAGTCCTGAAGGTCTGGTTCCCAAAATGTTCTCCGGTAGAGGAGAGAGCGCTGTAGAGAAACTCCAGCTCATCTCCTCGGCCGAGTCCCCTCTAAGGAAAACGTCATCAGAGTACAAACTGGAAGGACGCCAGGTGTCCTCTCTCAAACCCCTGGAGGGAACCCTGGACATCGGTCTGCTTTCAGGACCCCGAGTTTCCAAAACTGAAACCTGTTTGTCTAAACTGACAGACGGCATGAGCGACATCGTTCCGTTGAGTCCATCCAGGTGGCTCAAAAGCCCGACGGAAAAACAGATCACCATCCCTCATCTCAAGTCTGCTGACAAAATCAAAACCTCCATGTTGGGTCCACTGAGCCTGGACGCCGTTTCCTCCTCAAACGGCTCCAAAGAGCCGTCTGTCAGTGGTGGCGTAGAAATTAAGATTAATGGAAGCGGTGAGAAGGCCTCACTGACTCATGACCACAGAGGCTCCCGACACAGCTCCCAGTTCTCCTCTGCTGGGAAAACCCCCTCCATACGGGAAGTGAGCAACGAGGATCAGGATGAGGAAGTGGAGCAGCAGGAAGTGGCTTCACACACGTCACACAGCCCAAACTGCTCTGACACCACGGTGGTTCCAGCAGAACTGCAGGGGTCCCCAGCTGCTAGTGGTGGACCGCCTGGTCCCCCAGGGAAGACCTCGGATTGTGTGTTAGACTTGTGTGTAGACAGAGACTCTTCTGCACAGAACGTGACCCCAGGTGCTGAGGTGGTGCAGAACGTTTCTGCTTCTGCACCCGATCCAGAGAGTGTGCTTTCTAAACAGGAACGGCTCAACATCTGCTCCTCAAACATGCAGGCACCCGTTCCTGTCGCACCATCAGCACTTGGACCTAAATGCGGTCATAAATCCAGCAGTTTGAAATCCAAGGCCAGCTGTGAAACATCTGCTGGAGAGGCAGCAGTAGAAGACGCAGCACCGTCAAACAAACCGGCCGTGAAAGCGTCGGAAGGAGCGGGTGGCTCGGCCTCTGACACCACAAAGACGGACGCTCCCGTGGTAAACACCAGCAGCCCGTTGTGTTCTGCGACGGAAGACAAACTGAATGTAAACAAAAGCGATGGCTCCGTGTCCGCTTGTACTGGACAGCGTCCCGGTTTACCACACAGCGGTGCGAAAGTTTCAGAGCAGCCGTCAAACAAGCCCCCGGCTGCAAAACAACAACACAAATCGTCCGAGTTGGACTTGAAAAAGGAAAACATGGTGGTCGTTTCTGCAAGAGGGAAGGGGAACGGTTCAGCAGCTGCAAATGAGAAAAGTAAACCCGGCTGTGAGGCACAACCTGCTCCCCACACGTCTGTTAAGGAGGCAAAAACACCTCCTGTCCCGGGCGTTCGATCAAGTCTAACTACCCAGGAGAGCAAACACAAAGACGCCTCGCTGATGTCCAAGCAGGACGACTCGGTCCAGCGGACACCTTCACCGTCTCAAGGAGACTTTAAGCAAAGACCGACTCAACCCAAAGGTTCTGTAGCCACCAAGGACATCACAGAGTCCAAGTTCAAACCTGCTTCTCCCAAAACCGCAACACCGTCCACCTCAGCTGCTAAGCAAAGTCTAGACGTCAAACCTAAAGACGGCTCACCTAAGAAACAGGATCAACGCGATTCTAAACCAAAAGGCGTGGCTCCGCCCCATCAGCAGCTCATGAAGGAGCAGGAAGTCCCGCCTCTACCTGCTGCCCCCCAGGTGCTGCCAAAACCTGCTGGAAAAAAAGACTCCCCAATCAGAGAAGCTGCTTCGGTCTCCAGCAGTGGGTCGCTGGACGCTCACAAAGCCTCAGATGCCAAAATCCAGCCCACCGAGAAGCTGCAGCTGTGCGCCCGGAGGGATCCAGCTGACAAAAAGAAAAAGGACTCGGTTCAAGAGGTCACGTCTGCACAGAGAAACCCAAAACGAGACACGAACAGGTCTTCTCCCTCTGCACTCCGAGACTCTTCAGACAAGGACTGCAGCAGGTGCAGGCAGAAGGAGGCGCCGCGTAGCTCCAGCAACAGGAAGTGAAGTGTTAGAAAGGATTTGTGTACGCATCATCATGCCTTCTTTGATTTTTTTTTGTGTGTGTTCTTTGAGGACCGGACAAGCTGTTACCTGCCGACGGCAAGTTGGAGCAGGTGTTTAACGTAGGAAGTCGTTTGCTGACATCAGCGTTTTACTCTTCAAGTGAATGTGTAGAAGTTTGTTTCTGTCCATCACTAAACGCTTTGTGCAATCTGTGTGTGTGTGTGTTGGGGGGGGGGGGGGGGTGTACTGAAGAGGCGGTGCCATGAAAGATTTTCAATTGCACTTTTCCTTCTCGACTCGTGGGGCTGTGGACTTAATACAGTAGACCCCAGGATTTTACTGGATGCCCTGTGTGATCAGATGTTGCTGGGGTGGGGGGTTGGGACGGGTGGGGGGGGGGGGGGGGGGGGGGGGGGCACACCATCTCGCCTACACTTAAATCTGGATGGTGTTCCAGACCTCCTAGATTAGAGACGGGGCTTTAGACGGACGGGAGATGAAGCATCTGGCTGTCTTCTTAGCAGGATGAGGTGTTCATTCACATTCCGTTGACATCTGTACATAAACTTTTAATTTTTATGCAACGTAGTGTAAATATGATCTTGTTAAATGATTGTTTGTATCATATGTAAAAAGTGTTGCTGTGTCATGTTTGGAAGACTTGGCTTCTGCATCAAAGGGTTCCTCCTCTCACTAACATGTCCTCACCTGCTCCACCGCTGACCTGAGGAGAAGGTGTTTGGGGCTCGGGTGGCTTTTTTTCTTCCAATGTAGCATCGTTTAACAAAACTGTGAGGGCTATCGGCATCTACGGAGAATGTCTTTGCTGTTGATGGCACATTTTCCGGCTAACTGTGGTGAAAATTATCAAAAAATGTTTGTTTAATGGAACCAACAAGCACTTTTGCAGATATGGGGGTCAGTTTTCGAGCCACGTGAGTGTCAAAGCCCCTGTTCCGGAGAGGGTTACGGTGTTTCACGTCGGGGGGTCGGACACGCGGCTTAAAGATCCCCCAGGGTTTGCTTCTTTCACATCTCTGACAAAAATGCAACATTAGCGTGCAAACGGCTCACATGTCAGCTTTTTATCCACACAGTTCTATAGATGTCTTAAAAAGGATGAACTCTAATGGCATCCAGGAATTAGCCTGGGTCGCTAGAGTTAGCAGTGCTGCCTCTGTCGTTCAGCTCCATAGAAAACCTGTTTCTCGTCTGCTACTCGTATAAAAACCAATATTTTAACCTCAGAGTACATCTAAGTGGTCCTCACTGTATGGAAGTGCTGAATGCAGAGATCAGAACGGTATGGTGTGGTTAAACGACCTGGTGGTCATCTGCATTAGACGTAGTAAATGTATTGGGTTAGGGTTGTAAAAGCACCTTAATGTTTGAGAAGATTTGGAAAGTGGATCCATCACATCCGATAAACCCCGTCTGCGTTGTCCCCCTGTGATGGAAGACTATTAAAAGCACATTGTTTGTTTACAAAGCATCATGGATGTATATTTTGTATATTGTCGATCTGCCAAATCTCCGTCGTGCGTCTCGGATGACGTTGCTTCTAGCCGCGTGAGGCTCTGCGTGCAGTAATCCGTGTTTTCATGTCCAGTTCTGTCTGCTCGTCGTCGCCGTTTTCCTCCTTTCCCTGTGCTCAACTAGTATTAGAGGAACTTGTTCCCGATGGTCTGTCTTTTAGAATATGTGCAATAAAAGTGTTCTGAGTTTTGTATTCTGCCCAAGGAAAGCTCTATGGATGTCATAGATGTTGTATATGAACAGATATTTATACTTCTATTGTTGTGAAAAATGGAAAATAAAAAGATTCTAAATAATTTTTTTGCGTTTATTTATTTTTTTGCTATCCCAAAATGATGATTTTTTTTAACTGAGTGAAAACTTTTTTTTTTAATGTTGAAGCCACATTGTTCTTTCAGTGAGTCTTCTGTAAACTCATCTGTCATGCAGATCGGTCGGGTTCATCCATGTTGAACTACTAGACCCATAATGCAGCAGGGCAGAAGCACGTTAAAAGGAATTAAATGCAGTTTCCTCCATGGGGCTGCGTAGTGGGATATGGTTGCGGGTTCAAATCCCAGCGGCAGCCTGCCCGTGGGAAGTTGATGTGTTCTCCATATGAATGTCTGGTTTTCTCCTACAGGTTACGTCAGGTTGCAGCCCTAAATTATCTCCGGGTTCCTGTGACGGACTGGAGACATGTCCATCACATGCCCGTTCATGTAAGGATTCGTTTTAAGATACTTTTGCTGGTTTTTAAAATGTTAAATAGTTTGGCCCCTCCTTACTTGGTGTCACTGCTTCAACCGCACACCCCTGCACGGTCACTCCGCTCGAAGAACCTCGTGCTCCTCTCGGTCCCAAAAACACACCTAAAGACACGTGGTGATGGGGCCTTTGCTGTGGCAGGTCCTAAGCTTTGGAACGAGCTTCCTCTCAGCATAAGGGCCTCCACCTCTGTTGTTGGTTTTTAAGGCAAGGCTAAAAGCCTACTTTTATGGTCTGTCTTTTAATCTTTCTAACTAGTTTTTATTGTTTTACTTATCCATGCATTCACTGTTTTATGTCTGTGTCATGTGATCCAATGTTTTTATTTTCTGGACTTGATGTTTTATGTTTTTACTTGGTCTATGCAGCGCCCTGGTGGCATCTTTTTGCCTGTAAGGCGCGATTTATAAATAAAGTTGAGTTGAGGGTGTCATCTCCACTAGAGACACCAGCTACTCATGACCCTCGTGAGGAAAAGTGCACAAGAGTTTCCTCACAAAAGATTCTGATTGTTTTACTCCTAAAATCAGTTTTAGTTTATTAGAAATTTTAAATAATTTAACTGAATACCAGTTTTAAAGGAAACTCGTACTTTTTTTTTGTCATTTCAATAAAACAATTTATCTTGATCCGAATGTCAAGTTTATATAATTAATGGTCCTTATTTTTTATCACTGGAATCAAAAACTCTTGGACTTTATTTTTGTCAGAAAAATCAAAGTACATACATTTATTACATAAATATGGATTACAGTACATATATTTATAATTGTTATCCTATACAACCATTTCATTCAGTTTGTCATGTATAATCATTAGTTTAGTAAGATGGAATAAAATTAATTTTTATAAATTATATACTTGACTGTTTGAATTAATATGAAGTGTGTGTTCCCTGAATAATCCAAATAACCTGAGGTAATATTAAAGCAAATATTCAAAAACCAATCAGATTGATAAATATTTATATTGAATATTGCATCTTATTGATCATTTTAGAATGTGTTGCAAAATCCTTCATGCTACAGTATTGCCACATCAACCACAACGGCTGTCTGTTGGTTCACCATCACCATGTTGTCAGTCTGGATCTGGAAGTCCCACAGAAGCGTGGCTCTCTCTAATTTTCTACCACTTTAGGGGGTGTTGGCCACTTTGACCTTCCAGTCCATACTCTACTTGGGTTCCACTCTTTATTATATTTTTTCCCCATCAGTTATCACACACACTGTGTGTGCGGAATTTGTTCTTTGACCCATCCCCTGGGGGAGCGGTGAGCGGCAGACACAGCTGTGCTCGGGAACCATTTGGTGGTTTAACCCCCCAATCCAACCCTTTAATACTGAGTGTCAAGTGTTAGCTTTGGGTTAGCTTCAGGTTAGCTTGTAGCTAGTTCGACCGGGTGTCTTCTGTTGATTCCAGCCTTACAGCCCCACCCTCAGCTCCTCCTCTCTTCCCTTTTATGGAATTGTCTGGGCTTGATGGAACCTGTTACACGGTCAAAATGGTGGTGGTGGCCGCCTCCCATTTGGCATCAAAAAAGTGATATTGGAGCCTATGGAAAGAAGATGTCCATGTATATTATGTTGATGGTGCCGAGCAGGGAGGCATTGAGTCCCATTTTTTTTCAATGTCTTTGGTATGACCCAACCAAGAGTTGAACCCTGATCTCCCAGTCTCAGGACGGACACTACCACTAGGCCACTGAGCTACCCTGCCAGCATCTACACCCTGCAGTTATGTGGTGGATTGTCTCGGGGGAACCTCTTTGCATAGCCTACACCTTGAGTCTTGTCTGGTGTGGTAGATCTTGGCCTCTGGTGTTCAGGGCCTGTTCCATGATGAGTGCCTCTGTGCTGTCCTTCAGACCAGCTCTTTCTAGCCTAATACATCTCATGTAGCGGGTTTGTTCTCCCACGATGGTATGTCCAGCATCTCCTCCTCTGTTTGCCATAGTTTGAGACGTTTACTGAGCACGTCATCTGTTAAGACCTTGTCCTTGATGTACTTGGCTGTTTCATCCTGGACGGATGCTCTCACACTCACTAGTCCTCAGCCTCCTTCCTTATGGCTAGTGTAAAGTCTCAGGGTGCTGGATTGGGGATGAAACCCCCCATGCATGTTTAGGAACATCTGTGGCCTTTATTACTTCCTTTGACCATCTGATTTCTGCAGGATGTAGTTTTTGGATTTATGTGCCTAAAACAAACCTCTGTCAGTGTGCCCCAGGGCAGCTGTGGCTATAATGTGTGTGTGTGTGTGTGTGTGTGTGTGTGTGTGTGTGTGTGTGTGTGTGTGTGTGTGTGTGTGTGTGCGCACACACACACACACACACACATATATATATATATATATATATATATATATTACTCAAGTAAACCATCCCACTAGATGAGTGGAGTTGAGCCAGTAGGGGGCGGTATCTGTCTACATGAGTGAAAGTAGGTCTTGTGTTACGCAACATGGGCTCAGAGCTGCAGAGGAATAATCACATGCAATGTGCAGAAATCTGAAGACTACAGCCGCTCTGATAACGCAGCACGTTTCTGCCATCTTGTTTCCCGTTACGTGAGCTTCAGCACATTTTTTTTTATCCCCAAACCGTCGGTCTGCAGCCAGACTGATGAATAAGCATTATTGCTGCACAGAGAAATGAACATAAAAAGTTCCTACTGGGAGGGAGGAAGTGCTGCAGCAAGTTAAATGGGTCATACATGATGATTCATTTACCACCATTGATTGGCTAACTCCCTTCCTGCAGGGAGAAACATCTTTCCATTGATGTTCTCACTTAGAGTTTAAATCACAGCTGCAGGCTTCTAAATGAAGCCCTTTCTTCAGAAATGCTCGTATCTAAAATCTCCCCAACCTCCTGTAACAATGAAAGACAATGTTTTAGTTAGTGTGCTTTAGAAGCATTTGTGGAATGCTAGAAAGAATAATAAAATCATGCCCCACTTGTGTGCTCTTCTTTTCAGCCCCTGTGAATCTACAAAAGCTGTTTTTACTCCATTTTTACCACTTTAGAATAACTCATTCACGTAGAGTTTAATAGAACAGCTTCTGTGAGACGCCGAGCATGCTGTCTGCAGCACTTCATCCAGCTTCCAGAGTATAATCAATCCCAATGATGTGACCTGACCGTGTGCATCATCAATAGTGTGTGCAGTTGGAAGAGGAGAACTTGTGTGTGTGTGTGTGTGTGCATAAACATGCATGTGTTAGTGCACAAGTACAGCAGACTGAAACACCCAAGAAAGTGTCAGATTTACTGCCTGCACTCCAGCAAGGAGCTCTCATCTGTGTGATGATCTGATGAAGTCCAACTTTAGGTAAAATAAAAATCCTATCATCAGTGGTCAGGTTGTTTTAATAGGACACGTGATTTTTGGTTGGTATCATTTCAATCTTCATTAAACTAGTTAAATGAGACATGACTTATAATAGTTTAATGGTCGATACAAAACAAATTTGTGAAGGATTTCAGCAGTTTTCTTCTTGACATTTTCATTACCTTCCAGAATGAGCCATTTCAGGGCTCTGTCACTTTAAGGGAGCAAGCTGTTGCTGGCCACGCCCACTCCCCACCTCTGCTCTGGATGTCGTAAGCTGAGATGCTCTGATATCCGGGTGGAATTGGTGCTCCTCCTCTCTCTTGCCGGTGGAAAGTGGTTCTATACTAATTTGTGACTTCACAATCAAGGACTTTTTGAAACGGTGTGTTTTAAGCCCATAATTCCTAAAACAAAACACGGATGGAAAATGGACTAACTTTTTTATTATTATTATTGGAGATGTTTACAGAGGTAGTAGAGGCTCACATGACTGCACAAAAGACGCAAAAAGTGAATTTAGCACAACACGCCCCACTTTATTAAGTAATTTTTCAACATTTTTGATCTTATTTTTAATCCCGTGATTAACTTGAGGAGATATGATGTGACAGATCCACTCAAAATGACCCAAACCACTGAAGTTCTGTTGGTTCACACCAGTCAGATTGTTGTATTTGAAGAGAGTTTCTATGAATGTTAGCTGCTTTTTAAACAGCATCAGTTTGGAGAAATGGAGATTAGTTCTGAGTAGATTATGAGCTAACAGCTAGTCTGAGTTGGACAAAGATCAAAATAAATTGTGGCCCTGAGAAGTTAAGTTTCTAATCGTATCCATGTGTAGCCTTTTACGCCACTGTTACTGTTGCATCACACCAGTAGACATTTTCCCTCTTCTGTGTGTTTACAGAAGCAGTCTTTGGGGGTGCCTTGCACCTTTCAGCGGAGGCTTACAGCTGTGCTTTGTCATAAAGTAGTCCCAAGTCTAAAATGGTGTCTGTGATTCATTCATGTTACTAATTATTTTCACTTGCAGTCAGTCTGATTATTTAGGTCACCAAGCAGAATTGGGACCCCTACTGAGTGATTTTAGGGACATTTTCACTCCATTCACTTCCTGTGTTTTATGCTAAGCTAAAGCTAAAGGAGTACAGCCGGGTCAGGAGAATGACTGGGCTGCTTAAAACATTTTTTCCCACTTAACTAACTCTGGGAAACAGACAAAATTAAAATTTTGGGTGAAATATCCTTTTAATACTGGCTCCGCCTCCACTGTTTCCTCCATCAGCTCTGTGCAATTGAACGGGTAACACTTTACAATAAGGGTCCCTTTATTAACGTTACTTTGTTCATTATTAGAGCCATGACAGCTGGTGTTCTGGGGTCCACTTGGTGCCCTACACACAGTGCATGATGCATATGAGTGGTGCGCCGGGCCCTGAGCTGATTTGGTACCTACACCAGCTTGGACTAGCTGTTAGCTTGTCAATCTAGTCTTAACTGAAGTCTGTTTCTTCAAAGTGAGACAATTCAAAGAGCTTTCTACAACAAATAGCATGTTTGTAGTTCATAACCTTTCCTTCAGAAATCAAATGGTAAATGGCCTGTATTTTTATAGCTCTTTCTAGGGGTCTGTATCCCCCCAAGGTGCTTTACAACACATCAATCATTCACACGTTCACACACTGGTGCTGATGTGTTGCATTATGGCCACAGCTGTCCTGGGACACATTGACAGAGGTCAGGCATCCTTACACAGACATACGCCACCGGTCCCACCAGCAGGTGTGTGAAGTGTCTTGCCCGAGGGCACAACAATTAGGACACACTGAGAGGGGCTCAAACCCACAACCCTTAAAATGCACTGAACTTTAAACTCCGACCAATCATTTGTGGCAGACTTTTGGTGGTGTTGATTACTGATATTTGATGTAACGTGTGATGATTCGACTGATGCAGATGAGATGACAAAACTATCAATAACTAATAATAATCCCTATTATGAATACGGTTCCAGGACCTCTAGAATGTCTTCTTTTTCTTTTGATTTTATTTCCGTTACATGAATCCGGCCAGAGTTTCTAGAGCTGCTTTTATTTTGGTCTTCTGAACAGGAAGTTTGGGATTAAGGGGGCCGATCATCATGAATGATGAGCCAGGATTGACTGGAGGATGCAGACTGGTCTTCCACCAACCGGTGTTCCTGTCTGCAGTGTGGAAACAATCCTGAGAAAATCACTGAAAGCTTTGCTGTTCTTTGGGGATCTCTCTCATTCCCAAAAGGACCAAATTGTTCCGGGTTCAAATCTGAAGTCAGAACAGAAACCTTTCAGTCTGCAGTTCATCCAACGAGCGTTCAGGACCTGGATCCTCAAGTGAAAATAATAGTTCATGATTTCTGAGAGGCTAATTTTTCTTACTTCACTAGAACATGACCTTCTTACGTGAGGCGATCGCTGGAGCACTTATTTAATAGATAACTGTAATGTGGTACAACTAAATGGTATATGGCCTGTATTGGATATAGTGCCTTCTAGAGTCCTGGAACCCCCCAAGGCGCTTTACAACACAATCAGTCATTCACCCATTCACACACACTGGTGGGGATGAGCTACGATGTAGCCACAGCTGCCCTGGGGCGCACTGACAGAGGCGAGGCTGCCGAGCACTGGCGCCACCGGTCCCTCCGACTACCACCAGCAGGCAAGGTGGGTTAAGTGTCTTGCCCAAGGACACAACGATAGCGACAGACTGAGCGTGGCTTAAACCTGCAACCTTCCGATTACGGGGCGAGCACTTCACTCCTGTGCCACCGTTGCCACTAAAGGCAAATAATTTTAAACAATACGTGTGTGTAAACCGTAAACAAACAGGTGATTTCATCTTTAACGATAGAAGTCAAGCTTATGACACAAAGAGTCAATCAAGTCAGCAGGTTTCTGTCTCTGAGGAATAAAAACACTTTACTAATGCTTCTTCAGACAGCATCTGATCTGTTGTTTGGATGATTCAGGTCGTCGTGTAAATAAAAGGTGCTTCGGTGTGCTCACGCTCCTGTTTGTCTCCTTGAGTGAGATTTGTTTAAGCAAAAACTGGAAACCGTGTTGGGAAGACTCCTTGTTCCCCAGCACAAATGCAATCTGAGACGCACAGATAAATCCACTCTGTCCTGTATTAACTTTGCTGCTGGAATTTGTTTGAGTACATTCTGTGACTTGGGGGGAAGCCAAAACTCCAGCCCTCTGCTCTCATATCTCATGTTGCAACTGATGGCTGCAGGCCGAGCTGGAGTCCGCAGCCACTGGGCCATCACGCACAGGGAGGAGCCGGCTCATTGTGCAGGATTCGCTCTCACGCTAGCAATAATGAGACCGGCGCTGCTTCTGTTTAACTCGCTACCTCGCTCCTCAGGATCTGTTCTGTACTAAGTCCATTAGAGTTTTATCACTTTTGCACAGTTGAAAAAGAAAAATGAAGAGAGGACAGTAAACATCCTTCAGGGTTGTGCAACAACCGTCCGTGTGTGTCCCATACCCAGCCTGTCAGTCGTGTGACATGAAAGAATTGCTTTTATAACCTTTTTTGCTGTGTTGATTCAGTCCTTTTAGCCGTGTCACACGAGTGATGCAATTTAAACATGAGGAAAAGTGAGTGACTGTGGGCAAGCAAACACCAAGGCACACATTACGGAGGTTATAAACGGCCTGGAACACTAATTAAAGAATATTATTTTCAGAGCTCGCGGAAGTGCTTGTGTTGCAACAATTAGACAAGTAAACCTTTTAAAAAAGCTATTTGACCTCATGCCGCTGGGTTAGGAGCTCATAAAACGTCTCGTCAGACGGAAGCCACCGTGGTCCTGGCTTTCCGGTTCCTTTGGAACGGTCAGGTGTGTTAGCACACTCACCACATGTACTTTTTCTTATTGTCCTGCAGTAAAAGTCCTCCTGTTGCTGTGTCACCATGACAACAATCGTCTGCAGAACAGCCGGAGGACCTCAGGGCTGCAGACTCCGTTGATGTTTTTTACAAGAGGCTTAAAACCAACACTTTTCAGCTTGAAATGAGTTTACTTTTGTTGTTTTAGAAATTTCAGTCATTTTCATATTTTTGTTATGCTTTTTATTTAAACATTTTACTCAAAAGTGGCTATAAAGTATTTATTTACTTCATGTTTCGCTTTTGGGATCATATTGTTCTCTGTGAATATGCTCCGTGTGTGTGTGTGTGAGAGTGTGCGTGTAAATGACTGACATCAAAAAAATTTTATTTAAAGGTGTGGAACACTGAAAAATTATAATTATAATCGGTCACTCTGAGATTTTCATGCAGGCCGAACACGAATCTGTCTCCTACACGTATCTCCTGCATAGAAAATAGATGGTCAAATGCTAGGATTTGAAAATCCTCACACTGTGATGTCACACTGTGAATTTGCATTCATGGCCAGGCCCATCTTAGCTAACGCCCACCCACAGGAAGGCTTTTTAAAAATATTTTTTGCAGCGATAGAGAGTGGAGATCGCATATTTAGACACTCATTAATGCTACGGTGTCTTGGTGAAAGTGACTTTGCAACATGGCTGAACGCACTCTGTTAGCCAATCAGAAGTGAGGTGTGTGCATATCATTAACAGTAATGAGAAATCCTGCTTTTCAGCCCATCTCTGCACCAATAAACTTCTGCATCTCAGAACAGGAGGATCCTAGCCGTTTTAAAAATGACTCATAAGGTACTGATTTACACTAGAGAACACTGCAAATGTATGAATAAACCAGTAAATCACACCTTTAACAATATTGTTTGAAGGCTGTTTGGCCCACGTATTGTTGCTTGCAGCACTATAAACTCTTACCCCTGCTTTCCACAGGAGCCGTCAGCAGCACGTTACTGCAGCAGCACGTCTTGCTCGCGTAAGCTGCTGCTTGGCCCTTCCCACGAGACGCGAAGCAGCAGGGGAGCAGCTGTCACCGACAGAGCACGAAGTCACACGAGTGACTTCGTCAGTGAACACAACAACAAGCAGGAGAAAACTACAACATGGCTCCAAAAGGTTTGTGTTTTATGTTCTGTCCATTTTATAATCGCCAATACGGACCTGAAAAACAAAGGAGACCGCTAGCTAGGTGATAACTTCTCACGGGGCCGCACATTTAGTAACTTTTTTAAAAAGTAAAGCAACCGGAAGGCAGTATGTTTCTTTATTCTGGAATCTCGGGAGCTTCTCTCCGTTTCCGCGTCCGACTTTCTGTCTTTCCTTCCCCAAAAATGTCGAACTTGACCCGTTTCAGAGGCGTCACGTGTAGAAAATAGAACCGGCGTGTAAAGGCCGCGACATGCTGCTCCTGAGACGCGGCCGACTCGCGCTGCTGACGGCTCCAATGGAAAAGGTTCTGTTGACCACAGCCGTTCCTATCAGCAGCTATGACGTGCTGCAGTAACGTGCTGCTGACGGCTCCTGTGGAAAGCCGGGGTTAGCGCAGATTTTATTGTGAAAATTGTTTTATAAATGACATTTGATTGATCGATAGCCTTTTCAGTGTTCATTTGGTTTATGTTTAGTTTTAAAACCGTTTGAATTGAACGAGGAGAAAACTAGTCTCTCAGATTTGATTGGATCAGCTGATTTTTAACTGGCAAAACCAGAATCTTTTCCATGTGCTCATCTGTTCGTGACCCGGATGAGAAAGTAGTTCACAGGGGCGGTGCTGCTGCTGCTGGAGGCAGCTGGATGCGGCCTTCGCTGTAAGATTCGACATCAAGAGCAGAAACAGATTGAAGTGTTTACACATGGCCACAAAAAAAGTTCTCAGCTGAGTTTTCTTTTGCTTTTCAATTAGTGTTTGCTTTCAGATTGATGTAGTGTTTAGTCAGGGTTGGTTAGGTTCAGAAAATGGGCACAGTTTGCTTCATGTCAGTGCTTTAGAGCTCTCACACTGACTGTTACTATGACGCTTGATTGGCTGTTGGAATAAGCTCTGCATGTTAATGCACAGGCTTTAATTTTGAGCTAATAGCTGGTTTATACAACCATCCCCAGGCCCCTGCACTCCCCCAGTGTTACGCTGATATGTGTTCCCTGTTGAAAACTGGCCTAAGCCGCGCGGAACAGATGCGGTCCGGTTTCCATCCAACTTCCGGACAGATTGCGTTCACACTAACTGTAGTTTGCGTGCCGAACGTCTCCAGAAACTTGCTCCACAAGAGCAACAAATGATTAGAAATTTGACAACACAACATTTAAAGATATACCTGTAGAAATAACGTAACTATCACACACTGTGAACTGATATGGCAGTCATTAAGAATTAAACGAAATCTGACAAAAATAATGCAACTTGGGTTTTATTGTGGAATTAACCAGATGCTGAAACATGTCTCACTTCCTGCCTGGCTCGTGTCATTTGTTTAACTCCATGAAAATCTGCACGTGACGTCCAGGAAGAAGAAACTCCATGTGAAACTTGCCAGAGTTCAAATCAAATCAAATCAAATCAAAGATGCTCTATTAATCCCAGAGGGAAATTACAGTTTCAGTACACACAATTCAGAGATCAGACATACATGGGCAAGACACATGACAAGAAATGGTGACTGTGGTCATTCGCAACCCTGAGTCGCGCTACCTTAATAGAGATAAGAAGGTTACATGAGGATTGGTTCAGGTGGAGGGAAAAAAAGGCACTTCAGAGTTACCCTCCACCAGGAGGGCAGCTTTGCTCTGCAAAAAAACACCTCAGACATATATGCAACAGACTTCAGACAACACAACATAAGTGTCCACTAGGTGGGGTGGTGGGTTAGGACTATCCCCACTTTAGTTCCTGCAGCCACAATAGAATCAGCGCATGTCACCTCAGTGTGGATAGGGGGAGGCGCATTGAGGGTTGGAGGGTTGCAGTGACCCTGGACGCTTCAGCGGCCTTCCCGCAGTCCCGCCCAGGCTGGGAAAGCAGACAGAGTTGAGTTGCCATAGCGACGGCACATTCCACATATCTTCTGATGGGGGAGTTTTCGTTGGAGCCTTGCAGGCTCAAGGGCGCCAGATTCCGATTAGAAATTGTTTTGGGGCCAGACAGAGATGTCTCCCTCTCTGTGTTACAGTCTGCTGGTCCTCACCTCTCCGAATCCCAATAGTAATGGACGTTAATCTATCCCAATCCGTGCTGATTCGTCCACTCTCTCCTTGATGGCATCCATCTTTTGTGCCAAAGAATGAATCTCCGCCAAAGTCCCAAGCTTACGATTCATCTCGACAATTATGTGAGTCTGTGAATTCACAGCGCGGTGCAAACCATCTCTGAGCTCCGGGATCAGGCCAATATTCCTCGACAGCTCGTTAATTTTCCGTTAAGCCAGGTAGCCTCCAAGGCCAATGTGCAGGAAACCTGACACCAACACCACAAATATCCACGTCTTCAGACAGGTGGTGACTGTGCCCAACAGCCTCGTCTCTGTTAGTGTGCCCCAGAAGCGATGGTGATGCAACTCATCACCATCAGTGTGAAAATGTGTGTGAATGGGTGAATGACTGACTGTAAAGTGCTTTTGACTCACAAAAGCACTTTACAAGTGCAGGTCATTTATCGTTTGATCTCTTTTAGCTGTGGCTGCAGGGAGCTAACATCTTGAGAAGCACATGTGAGCCAGCAGCTCCTCTGGGTGGACCCCTAGGCCAGCCAAAGCCCTCCAGGGTGTCCATGGTATTCAGAACGGACTTAATACCCATTTTCTCTGGTCGGCACTAAAGCCAAAGTTAAAACAGGCAGCTGTAATTTACCAAGGAAAACTGCAGGGTTGCAACAGCAGTGAGCTGATAACTGCTAACTGACTCTCGTGTCTCAAGCTTTGGCCCAATCCCAAAATCCACCCTGGAGGCTAATCAGAGGCAAACCACCACATACTTAGCTGACGTAACAGGTGTAGTGTGAGTGTTTGGGTTCACGTGAGCCTAAAATAAAGACGGAACGAGCCTTGAAATAACAATTTGCATTCAGAGGAGAGAAAAAAACAGGCCAAGTAGAAAAACGACGCCCACTTCTACTCAGTCACTTTTCCATCAGTAGGTACATTTCTGTTTGCTGTTATTTTTCATTTACTTTGTAGATTATTGGGAATAATCTTCTTCATCGTCTCTGTGGCCGGACAGTGCCTGTGACTTGTTTTGGTTCATTCTTTGAGTCAGGCTTTTAGTTCAGTTTTTTTCTGTTTTTAAAGTTTAATTTTGCAAGACCCACGTCTGTTAGTACCCATCACCTGTGGTGAGCAATGCTGCTGCTGCTGCGGTGCTAATAGGACCCGCTTGCTTTGCTGTTAAATGATGTTTCTGCTGGGCCCAGATAAAGAAGGCTGGATTTCACTTCATCTTCATCTGAGACACTTTCTGAAGTTAAGCAGAAAGGTGCAGAGTACCGAGCCTTTGATCTGCAGTGAGAGGATTCCTCCAGTCATCCCTCCTTCTGTCACTTCTCAAAGGCCGGTGGTTGTGTGTGTGTGTGTGTGTGTGTGTGTGTGTGTGTGTGTGTGTGTGTGTGTGTGTGTGTGTGTGTGTGTGTGTGTGTGTGTGTGTGTGTGTGTGTGTGTGTGTGATCATCTTTCTCTTTGTATCATGCAGGGGCGGCGTTAGGCCCGGCTACTTGGGCTGAAGCCCCGGATCTTTAATGAAAAGCCCCGGATCTAAATCGCGGAAGTAACATGCAGTACCAAAGTCCAACAGAGAGGGAGCAGCTGGCAGTAGTTTGTATGCGGCCTGCCTGAGCCTCCACCACTGAAGAAGAAGCCCTTCAGCAGCTGGCTTCTTCTGCACTCTCTGCCTGAAACACGAGTGAAGATGGACATAAGGACGTATTTTAGACCAAAAGTACGGCGACAGAACCCCAGCTTTGATGAGACTGGTGTTGACTCAGGTTTGTGAGTCTTATTTGAAAATATTTGTTGTGCTGCTGGTTTGCCTAAAGTTAGCTTACTATCAGGTAAAGTTGTTGGAGAAAGAAAGGGAATATTTACTATCATCTCACACTAAACACTAACAGGAACAATATTCTGCCCTGAATATGCTTAATATGTAGCTTCAGATTAAAAATTATGTGGTACAAGACATATATGATGTTGACTAGTGTGTGTCACATGTGTGCGCGCGCGTGCGTGTTTGTGCGTGTTTTAAGCCCTGGATGTTCTTCAGTTCTTAATCCGCCCCTGGTATCATGGTCCGATACATGAAATAAAATAAAATCTATTTTTTCAAGTATTTGATGCAGTACTTAGATCGTCCACAAGGATTCGTGCAGAGTTGATTGGAGGTGAAGTTTGAGGAACGTACTGATCCTGTTAACGGGACAGAGGTAGAAGAAAATTAGGATTCGTTCAAGCAAACACACATTTGGCATTTAGGGGTTAAGTACTGCAATCTGCAAATGTGAGTTGCAGCGTAATGATGCAGATGAATCCACACAAGAACCATTTTCTGGCTGTTCGCCTCAGAGAGACAGGTTGTCTCCAGCGTGCACCAGGTACCTGGTCATTTTCTGAAATTACTGTAACGACTCATCATCTGAATGAAGTCATGGTCCCAGGATGTGGGTTACCTCTAGATGCTGTTCTACTGGATCTTTCTGGATCTCCTGAATGTGGTCACCCACGTTCATATGGCTGTTGCTGGACAGGTATCGGCACGCTGAGGAACGCTCAGGCAGAACTTTAACGGTCGACCTTTTTAACCTGAGAAATAATTCTCTTTCCTACTTTTCAACAGAAAATCCGAAGCCCAGCTGACAGCAGATGGTCAAACGCTCAGACTGACCGCTTGAGATCTTTTTTAGACCAGTTAAGTGAGAAACCACCATGACCTCACTGAGCTGGAGCATTGGCTGATGCCCTCAAAGCCAGATCTTCCTTCTTTAAACACTCTTAAGACAAGCAAATGACCTCCGACTGCTGCTTGTAAATCCCCAACTGTCACTTTTAGTTAAAGCTCTTTCTAAATCATTGCAAGCAGGCAGTATTTTTGTGTTTGAGTAAGGTCTTACTAACAGATGCCCATTAGGGTCAAAAATCCATGGGAGAGCAACCTCCAGCAACATAAACGCATCAGACTCCCGTTCATCACTGGCAACGAGTGAAGAGGTAAATGTGTAAAACAACATCTACGAATGGCAAAAGTTTTATAACAATTTGATACAAATCAGTGAATGCTTTTTGACCTCACGAGCTCCCATAAAAGGAAACATGGCGTCTAATGTGACTTAGACCCGCTCCCATGTTATTTAGACCAGATTTTCATGGTTATAAGTTACGAAGGCGCCAATATTTTTCAACACCTGAGCATCATTGAATTAATTTTCAACATTTCGATGGATATCTCCAGAGATTAACAGTAAAAACTACACCATGTCTCTTTAAAATCTAAAAAAAAAATCAATTTAAAAAGTCAAACCTTTTAAATGCAGCTTATCTCGACTCCCTTTCTTACAAACTTCCTAGTTTTATTCTGGTTGATGCTGTGGTGAAATATTCCTGTTTTCACTGGTATATTACAAAATATGACTTCTGTGTTATTCAGAATCAGCCATTAATCTTGTCTGATGCTAAAAACTTTTACTTCCTTATTTCTTCAAGGTTGCGGCTGTTAGTTAAATGCACCAAAACATGCTGTTACACCTCCAGTCATTCCTGTGGTCCTTCCTCCTCGGCATTGTGCTAACACACAACTGTATGCTCCAGAGAAGCTAACAACACTTAAGGTGGAACGACACCATGCAATACAATGTGCTCTTGTTTGGTAAGGGCTTTTGGTTTATCAAAGCTACAAAGAGAAGTACTTGCAACATCAAAACTCTACAGTCTGCTGCTTGACTCAATCCTGCTGTTTTTCTGTCAGGCCAAATATAAAAATCTGAGTTTTTACTTAAGCTATTTTTCATTTTCATTTCTGAATATCGGATTAAATAGTTTTGTGCACTAAGGCCGGTCCAACGTGCATCCCAAACTAAACACAAGTCAGGATGAAATTAAATGAAACGTTTTGATTTAGTAATCTCTCATAAGCTCTACAGATCCTAATTAAAAGTGATGTTAGTAATAAAAACGGCTAGTCCACACACAGCTGATTCATAATCTTATGTCTGGCTGTGGAGCAGATGAGTGTTAAAGGTCAAACAGCGGCCTGAGCTGAGTGTCAGTGGCTAAGAAGAAATGAAAGAGGATGAAGAGGAGGATGGGGGAAGGGGAGATCCGTCCGTCAGAGCTGCGGTCTGGGCTCAGAGGAGTGGCATGACCTCGGTGCGGTCCCACACCGAGCGCATTACTGAGCGTCTGAGAGGGATTTAAGGTCCAGGGCTTAACACAGATCAGGCTGTGGTTCTCTGCCTCAGGTTAAAAAACGGGATGGGGCTCAGAGCCACTCCAACAGAGGCGGTGGCACCAGTAGCACCAACAATTATTATAGAGCAACTTCATTGAGAAAACCGTTTCTTTACTTGTTATTTAACACAATTGGTCACTCTGAGTTGTAGAGGCTGAGCTCTGGTCACTCTGAGGCTGAACGTAAACATGTTCTTCCACCCCTTCTTCCTGCATTAGCTGCCAAAAACAAAATAGACAGGAAAATGGTCACATCTGATAAAGCCACACAGATCTACATCAAACTGTCTATCTGCATCCATGGTCTCACCAGAGCCGTGTCCAGGACTTTTAAAATGGGGTGGCCCATGTGGGGCACTTGTTTATGCATGGGTGGCACCAATGGTTATGCTTATTTATTTATTTATTTATTTACATAAATAGTTTATTTATTTATTTACTTTCTAGTGAATTTTGGAGTTTCACATTGCACAATCACCATTTGTTTTTCTATTCATCTTCTAGTTTTGTGGTGGTTAGCAAGTCACTTCTTGTTGCATTACTGCCGCCAACTGGAGTTGAGTGGGACTCTAAATACTATTTATGTGAATATGAAAAAAAGAACAAATAATATTAATACTACAGAAATGTTCTGTAGGCCTGGGCTAGAAGACAATGTTAAAGGTGCATGCTACCACACTATTTTTGGAGTTTACAACTCAAGCCTTTTGTCGACAATGTAAAGTCAATTTAAACTGGAACTTAGTAGGGTGGCACCTGGGGTGGCCAATCAGATTCTAAGGGTGGCATGTGCTACCCAAGGCCACTCCCTGGACACGCCTCTGGGTCTCACCCACCTGTTGTTGATTTTTGCAGCCAAGTGAAAACAGAGCACATCCTGGCTAGTAGAAGCTAACCATTACTGTTAGCAAACACTCAAAATGGCAGAATTCCTGCAGGCTTGGGTTTTATTCTGGAGATAAAACATCAACATTGCAGAGCAAACGGAGGCAGTGGAAACGCTGCTTTGTCAGCAGCCAATCAGAGGTGAGATATATGAATAACACCAATAATGATTAAGACAAATTCTATCATTTTCTGCCCTCCTCTCCTCCAGGTAACGTCTACTTCCTGAAACAGGAATGCCAGAGCTTATTCCACAGAGATTGACTCACAAGTCATTTATACTAGAACCCACAGCTGATTCACTAAAAATGATTGTCTAACAATCTGCCGACTCCTCCACCATGTCATTCTCCCTCGCTGCAGACGGGAAAATTCTGTTTGGTGGCTTTTCTTCTGATCCATTTCGTCATTGAGAGATAGGTTCATAAAAAACACAACATCTTATATTGCATAAAGAACATAGAAACTACATCTGAGAAGATTTTAGGCATTGATGTCTGGATTCATTTCAATAATTCTCTCAGGAAGTCTATTTTTGGATGTTCATCTACAACTGAGTAACTTTTAGAGTCGACCAGTGGAGAGTCTAGATGTGTTAGAAAGCTCTAGAAAGGTCTAGGCTGGATAACAATGCTGGACCTCCTCATCGAAGTCTGTGAATAGAGTCAATAATACGCCCCCCCCCCCCCACACACACACACACACACACACACACACACATACACACACACACACACACAACTTTTAAGTAAATGAGAAAAACTATTGTTCCACAAATTAAATACAGAAATATTTAAATATAGAAGATAAGAACAGAAAAATAACTAAATTGTAAATAACTGATATTATTCAGCAGAGAACCTCTCACACCAGTGGTGCTGTTCCAGTTTAATCCACTGTAACCAAAAACCTTCCAACCAAATGGAAACCAAAGATTATGAGCGGGTTGTCCAGTAATCAGAAGGTCGTAGGTTCAATCCTGGCTCCCACCAGAGAAGGCTGCTGTTGTGTCCTTGGGCAAGACACTTAACCCACCTTGCCTGCTGGTGGCGTTCAGAGGGACCGATGGCATTCGGTATGGTGGGCCCCGCATCCATCTGTGCGCCCAAGGGCAGCTGTGGCTACCTCCTAGCTCATCATCACCAGCGTGTGAATGTGTGTGTGAATGGATGAATGACTGATTGTGTTGTGAAGCACCTTGGGGGGTTGTAGAACCCTAAGAAGATGCTATACAAATACAGGTGATTCACAGTGTTTACCAATGACAAAAAGTGCGAGCATATAGTGAGTGGAGGACCAAGTAAATACGGAAGCATTGTGGTTCGGTGGGACCGACAACCAGATGGTCCAATTGTTGGTTTCGTACCGAGCCGTGTTACCGGCTGAAGTTCAGTGTACCAAAATCGAGCTAGTTCTTAGTTCTTTTTTCTCCTTTATATATATATATATAAACTTATGAAATAATTTTCCAATAGTTGGCACCCGTTCAGTCCACAGTCATACCCAGCTGCAGTTTTTACCCTACAGTATTTTCTCAATCGTCCATTTTCGCCATGACTTTTGATTTTCTTAGCGACTTGCACATACCTTGAAATGCTAGCCGAGTGCTTTTTTTCAATATGCCGCTTCAAGTTTGATGTAGTTGACGTAGTTGATGTCCGTAGTTGCTTCTTGAGACCCGGCGGGCAAAGTTTACACAAAAGATTTTTCCCACCTGGACCATCACTAACCTTTTCAAAAAACTCTTTTAAGTGGCCAAACGAACATCCTGCATTAACCATCGATGCTAACGTATTGCTACTGCCGCTGCATCCATTGGAATTTTCCTCCATGCTCTGCGATTTGATGACGTATGAGTGGTGCGACTCTGTGACTTCTGTCCTCCACATGGCATAGACATAGAAGAGTAGACGCCGCACAAACCGCTACTGCCTATGTTTGGCCGCATTTGTGGGTTCTACTTTTTATGAACTCTATGGTTAACAGGATGTTTTGGCTAGGCTTTAGCTCCGGAAAAGCTCCGTGGAGACCTGGAGCTAGAACAGCAAAAGAACGCGTTCACAAACCTGTTAACGCACACCAGGACGAACGCACTCACTTTTATGTTTGTCAGGCAAACAGTGTTACCAACTTAGCGACTTTGTCGCCATTTCTAACGACTTTTCAGACCCCCATAACGACTTTTTTTCAAAAAAGCGCCTAGCGACAAATCTGGCAACATTTCTAACCCCCCTCAGCTACTTTGACTACAACTTTGTAGCCGTCTTTACCTGCAGATTAGCGATGCATCTGAAGCGACAGGACCGTCCTTCATTCCAGAGGATCAGAAACAAAATGATCTGCGCATGTGTGTGCAGCATGACCGCGCTACCCCCATTGACCAATCAAACCTTTTGTGGGTTTTCACAAGTCCATTATTTGAGATAGCCACCGGAGCTACATAAAGGGTGATTGCTCCTTTGGCCATCCTGCCGCATTTCGGCAGCTGAGCTCGGCTGGCACCAGCGTCGCACTCACACATGGCTTCTCGCACCACTTGTGGTGCATTCAAGGAACATTGGAACTCTATGATGAGTTCAATAACGTAGCACATTTAAAACTTTTATAAAAACAGAATAATACTGTAAGACAAACACCTCAGGTCATTGGCAGTTTGCATGTAACATTTCTGAATACTAAAAACGGCCTGCTTCTTTTTACACAAAGGTACTAAAAACAACAAAACCAAACAAAAACAATATATATATATTATCTTTTTGGTCAATATATAGCACTAAATCACAACAGAAGAATACATCTCAAGGCACTTGAAAACTACAAGAGAAAATTCATTTTAATTCAATCATACATACATTCCTATCAATTTAATATTTTTGTGTTTACGAGTTCCATTCATTTCCTTCCATTTTTTGTGCCATCTTTCCTTGATGTTTTAAAGGCTGCTGTTTAGTGTTCTATGGGGTTTTTATTTTAATAAAATATTAAAAAATAAATTAAACTTTGTTTAATTAAATCACGTGGGTTTTATTTGATTTACTCTACAAGACCGGTGACGTCATGACGCAAACGTGGTGACGTCATCACGCAAACCAGATGACGTCATTGCGTCATATGCAAATTAGCACGGGACGTCATCTGGCGACATGTAGCGACTTTTGGGGGGAACTCTAGCTACTTTCAGTCAAAAACAGCTGGCAACACTGCAGGCAATTACGAAATAGTTCAGTTCACGTCCAGAAAAAAAAAAGATCAAATTCACAAACGATCGTTGAATGAACGTGTTCGGGCACAAATCTGCTGAAGTTTTTAGATTTTTTATGTTTATTCATTTAGCAGACGCTTTTATCCAAAGCGACTTACAATTTATAACCTATAGGGCATGTTGTGATCTGTGGGGGGAACCGAAGTACCCGGAGGAAACCCACGCATGCATGGGGAGAACACGCAACTCCACGCAGAAAGGCTGCAGCCGAGCCGAGTTTCGAACCTGCAACCTTCGTGCTGCGAGGCAACAGTGCTAACCCCTGCGCCACCATGCAGCCCCAGATAGATGGATAAATGTGAGAGAACCACTTCAGCATTTCATTTTATATCCACAATATATTTATAGCTTTACTATGTTAGAGATGTTTTAAGCTAGCTTGTTTTGAAGATTAGCCGTTGGAGCTTGTATCAAGAGCAGTAGCTATTCCCTCAAGGAGCACACAGCCTTTCATTTGTTTTACGTAAACAACGTTTTGATTCTTCTGTACATTTTCTGAATAATTAAATTTAATGTAAAAAATGAACTTTTTTGTGACACAACTCCTTGTTTTAGAGGAAATACTTGACTTAGTTTGACTGCAAAGTTTGCTTGCAGAAGTAAACAAATATGTCTTCAGGTCATGCCACTCTGCTGGCGGGTTTAATGTTTGTGTTATAAAATCTGAACCCTGCCACAGAACACCGTGAATGTTCCGTTCCAGCAGTAGCAGGAACTAGACTTTGGACCGTTCTCATGTATGTGTACTGTACACCAACTGTTTAAAGATAACTAAGAGGTAGGGAAATAGGTTATGTGATTAAATATGCACCATAACGAATCAGTTTAGATTTTACAGCAAAGGGTCAATTTACATTCACTGAACCGCTACTGTTTGTTTTTTCTCTCATTGTTAGAAAGTTTTAAAAAGTGCAACAAATATAAAAAGAATTCTGTTTGCTTGCTTTTGTGTTTATTTAGGGCCTGCTATGTGCAGTGAAAAAGCCCAAATGAGCGTTATGTAAACACATTCCCTGCACGCAGAGCCCAAGCAGCCACAGCTGGCTGACCTTGCGTAAGAGGCCCCTGGCTCAGTGTGTGTGGATGCCATCCGGGTTTGTAGATCGCTGGAAATCTGCTTTAGTTCAGGCCTGTGTCACAGGCACCAGCTGCATGGTGCTACGACGGACGGATTAACATAAGTGCAGGATTGAGGTTGTCCCAGATAACTGGAGCATCAAAAGAGACCGTTTGGCCTGAGGGATTTCTGAA